CCCGCGGGCTCAGGCAATCCACTCACCTCAGCCTCCCAAAGCGCTGGGATTACAGGCTAAGCTACCGAGCCCAGCTATTTTTAAAAATTTAATTCTTGAAAAAGAGAAATTCTGGCTGGGTGCTGTGGCTCAGCCTGTAATCCCAGCACTTTGGGAGGCCGAGGTGAGAGGATTGCCTGAGCCCACAGGTTCGAGGCCAGCTGGGGCAACTTGGTGAGACCTCATCTCCACAATAAATTACAAAAACTAGCCAGACGTGGTGGCGTGCGTCTGTAGTTCTAGCTACTTGGAAGGCTGAGGCAGAAGGACTGCCTAAGTCTAGCAGGTGGAGACTGCGGTGGCCGAGAGTGCCCCTGCACTCCAGCCTGGGTGACAAGAGTGAGACTCCAACTCAAAAAAACAAAAAGAAAAAGAGAGATTCATATGGTTCAAAAACTTTTAAATATATAAAAAGATTTACAACAAAAAGTTTCATCCCTGTCTCTATTCACAGTTTTCTCCTGACTGGACCAGAACTTCTTTGATTATGTGTCCTTTTGGAGTTTCTTTTTTCTTTTTCTTTCTTTCCTCCCTCCCTCCCTTCCTCTCTTTCTGCCAGGGTCTCACTCTGTTGCCCAGGCAGGGGTACAGTGGCACGATCACAGCTCACTGCAGCTTCACCCTGCTGAGCTCAGGCAATCCTTCTGCCTCAGCCTCCCAAGTAGCTGGAAGTATAGGTGCATGCTACCACACCTGCCTAATTTATTTAATTCTTGTGAAAGTGAGGTCTCGCTACGCTACGCAGGCTGGTGTCAAACTCCTAGACTCAAGCAGTCCTTCCACCTCAGCCTTCCATAGTGCTGGGATTGCAGATGTAAGCCTCTGCACCCGGCCTGGAGTTTCCTTATGCAAATATTAATATGTATTTTTGTTCCTGCCCTCTGGCCCTTTTACAGGAAGAAAATACTACCTTGTATCCTGCACCTGGCTTTTTTCTACTTAGCGCTACATCTTAGTGACCTTTCCATAGTAATGTGTGAAGAGCCGCTTTTTCCTCCTTTTCCTCTTCCTCCTCCTCTTCCTCCTTTTTCTCTTCTTTTTCAGTCCTAGTATTCCAGTGTATAAGCATTTATAATAATTTACTGACTCAGTTTCCTGTTGGTTTTTGCAGTAACAGTGCTGTGAGTCCTGCATGACCCATGCCTGTGCATTGTGCATGGGAGCAGGCTGGTCTGTAGGGACATGCCCATGAGGGGGCTTGCTGGCACCGGGCTGTGCATCTGTGGTTTTCATATGCAGCCTTGCCCAGCGCAGACTCACAGACCTAGGGTCATGAGCCAGCTGTTACTGCAGCCATAGGGATCACTCCAAGTCCATTTCGCCAGGAGGGTGGGAGAGCATCTGTCTCCCCACAGCCTCCCCTGTTTGGGGTATTACCAAACATTTGGGTTTCTGCCAAATGAATGGGTAGAAATTGGTAACTTGGTGTCAGTTTGCTTGCAGGAGGCTAGGTGTGGTGGCTCAAACCTGTAACCCCAGCACTTTGGGAGGCTGTGGGAGGATTGCTTGAGCCCAGGAGTTCAAGACCAGCCTGGGCAACATAGTGATAGTCTCCCTGTTTCTGGAAAAAAAAAAATTAGCCAGGTATGGCGGCATGTGTCTATACTCCCAGCTGCTCACTTAGGAGACTGAGGCAGGAGGATTGCCCAAGTCTAGAAGTAGAGACTGCAGTGAGTCATAATCATGCCACCATACTCCAGTCGAGTGAGACCTTGACTCAAAAAAGAAGTGCATGCAGGCTAAATTTGCAAGCCCCTTATTAATGGGGTGGGAAGTGGCATTTCATGAACTTTTGAGCTGCTGGTCGATCCAACCAGTGGCCCTTTAGAACTTTTCCTGGAAAGCCAGGCTCCTTGGCAGCAGGGCGAGCCCTCTCCCTCTTCCCCAGGGTTGCTGGGCCTCACCTACTGCTAATTTGCTCCTGTGGCTCCACCATGCAGAGACAGGGGAGAAGGGCGCCCAGCTGTCCGGTGGCCAGAAGCAGCGGGTGGCCATGGCCCGGGCTTTGGTGCGGAACCCACCAGTCCTCATCCTGGACGAAGCCACGAGCGCTCTGGACGCCGAGAGCGAGTACCTGGTAAGTCACGGCGTGGCGGGTATGACAGGGCAGGGTTGCAGCTCTAGGTGGCCACAGTCCCCCCTCACCCAGCAGAGGAGTGCTTAGAGAGGGCCCAGGGCTCTCCCAGGCATAAGCTTCCTGGCCTGGTGAGTTCCTGGTATCGAAGGAAGGGAGCCAAGGGGGAGGAGACCCGGGGCCTGGTCACTCTGGGCCCATCCTCCAGGCAGAACCAAAACTGTATGACACAGGGCAAGAGAAGTTCCAGAATCAAAGACTTGGACCAAAAGCTCCACTTCACAGTTTAAACTGCGTGGCCTGGAGTTAGCTCTCTCCCTCCCTGAGACTCAGTTTCATCGGCCAAGAGAGTCCAATAGCCTGTCTGTAGATGCCTGGAGACTGTAGTCTATCCACGGACTGATTAATTCCTTATGCAGACAGTCACAGAGCTCTCAGGCCCTGTTCTAGGCTCTGGGGTCACAGTGGTAAGCTACACAGACAAAGACCCCCTCCCCGTGGTATTTCCATTCCAGTGGGGAAGACAGATAATAAACAAGGAAACAAGCATGCGTTCAGCCTGTGGCCCATGCTACCAAGATATTGAAGCAGGCCCGGGATCACTGGAGCTTGGGAAGGGTCACCGTTGTCAGAGGTAAACACAGCTGGACATCAGTGCACACTGAAAATATTCTGTGCAGTAACTACTGCCAGTAGGGAGAGAGCCACGCCTGTGCCAGTTTGGTGGTGACAGACATCTTTTTTCTTTTTTGTTTTGAGTTGGAGTCTCACTGTCGCCCAGAATGGAGTGCAGTGGCATGTTCACAGCCACCGCAGCCTCAACCTGCTGGGCTCAAGCGATCCTTCCACCTCAGCCTTCCAAGTAGCTGGAACTACAGATGCACACCACCACACATGACTAATTTTTTTATTTACTGTAGAGATGAGGTCTCACCAAGTTGCCCAGGCTGGTCTTGAGCCCTGGGCTCAGGCAATCCTCTCGCCTTTGCCTCCTAAAGTACTGGGATTATAGGCGTGAGCCACCGCGCCTGGCAGTAACGGGCATCTTTTTTTTTTTGATTCAGAGTCTTACTCTGTTGCCCAGGCTGGAGTGCAGTGGCACGCTCATGGCCACCATAGCCTCGACCTGCTGGGCTCCTGCAATTCTTCCGCCTCAGCCTTCCAAGTAGCCGGAACTACAGGCACATGATACCACACCTGGCTACTTTTTTGATATATTGTGGAGATGAGGTCTCCCCAAGTTGCCTAGGCTAATCTCAAACCCCTGGGCTCAGGCAATCCTCTTTCCTCAGCCTCCCCAAGTGCTGGGATGACAGGCTTGAGCCACTGTGCCCAGCAACGGGCATCTTAAATGGAGAAAGAGGAAGGAGAGAGAGCAGAGCTCCAGTGAACACTGGCGAAGGGTGATCCATGTGCGTCTAGCCTGTGTCTAGCTGGCAGTTATAGAAGTTAGGACTCCATCCTCACAGAAAGATTGGGAGTCAGGGGCTCTAGCCTTCCTTATGATTCAGTTTCAAGGGAATGTCTCTTGGGTTCTTAAGGGAGACACTCCTGGGCCAGGTGCGTTGGCTCACACCTATAATCCCAGCACTCAGGAGGCTGAGACAGGAGGAGCGCTTGAGGCCAGTAGTTTGAGCTTGGGCCACAGAGTGAGGCCCCATCTCTACAAAAAAAAAAGATTAGCCAGGTATGGTGACATGCACCTGTAGTCCCAGCTACTCAGGAGGCTGAGGCAGGAGGATCACTTAAGCCCAGGAAGTCAAGGCTACAGTGAGCCATGATTGCACCACTTCATTCCAACCTGGGCAACAGAGAGAGACCCTGGCCCTAAAACAAATAAATAAAAATAAGAGCTGGGCTCGGTGGCTCAGCCTGTAATCCCTCGCTTGGGGAGGCTGAGGTGAGTGGATTGCCTGAGTCCGCGGGTTCGAGACCCACCTGGGCAGCGAGACCTCATCTCTACAATAAATGAAACAATCAGCTGGACGTGGTAGCACGTGCATGTAATTCCAGCTACTCGGAAGGCTGAGGTGGAAGGATCGCTGGAGCCCAGCAGGCGAGGCTGCGGTGGCCGGGAGCAGCCACTGCACTCCAGTCTGGGTGACAGAGTGAGACTCCAACTCAAAAAAAAAAAAAGAAAAGAAAATGAGAGCCACTCCTGAGTTGTAAGAGATACATAGACATCTCAAAGAACTAGAGAAAGGGTTTACAGTTGTAAGCCCATTTTAGTAAAGGTTCCACAGGGGCAGTCAGGGGCCTATTGGCAGGTGTTGGCTGAAATAAACAGTAAATTCTCCTGGTCACAGTGAGCTTTCTCAGGCAGACATTTTAATAGAGACTGGGTTCATCTAGGGATTTGGCCTTTTTTTTTGAGTTGAGGTCTTACTCTGTTGTCCAGGCCAGAGTGCAGTGGCATAATCACAATTCACTGCAGCCTTGCCCTCCTTGGCTCAGGCAATCCTTCTGCCTCAGCCTCCCAAGCAGCTGAGATTACAGGTGCATACCATCACGTCCAGCTAGTTTTTTGTTTCTTGTAGAGACAAGGTCTCACTATATTGTGCAGGCTGGTCTTGAACTCCTGGGCTCAAGCAGTCTTCTCACCTCTGCCTCCCAAAGTGCTAGGATTACAGGTGTGAGCCACTGTGCTTGACGGAATATGGCTTTATGCTACTAAAAGCTGTGCTGGAGTGTTGTCATCTCAGCACAGAGATTTAGATGGGGTCATTATGTGCCACAAGTTCTGTGGTTCTCACCAATAAAACCAAGGCCATCAGGTATCATTTGAACTGAGACCCGAAAGCAGAGGAGCTGGCTGTGGGGCACCGTGGGATTGCGAGCATCCCAGGAAGACAGGCTAGTGGGTGCAGAGGCCCCGAGCAGGGAGGGGCCTGACAAGTTCAAAGTCAGGAGAAGAGGTCAGCGTGAATGGCGGGTAGTGGAAGATGAGAGAAAGGCAAGGTCACAGTCACAGGGAGACAGACTCCTCAGGCCCTAGTAAGGAGTTTGGATGTTTTGTGAACATTAGCAGACTATGTTTTTTAGAGCAGTTTTAGATTTAAAGAAAATTGAGCAAAGCCGGGCTCGGTGGCTCAGCCTATAATCCCGTGCCTTTCGGAGGCTGAGGTGAGTGGATTGCCTGAGCCCGCGGGTTCGAGACCCGCCTGGGCAACTTGACGAGACTTCAGCTCTACAATAAATAAAAAATTAGCCGGGCGTGGTAGCACGCGCCTGTAGTTCCAGCTACTCGGAAGGCTGAGGTGAAGGGATCACCAGAGCCCAGCAGGTCGAGGCTGCGGTGGCCGGGAGCGGCCACTGCACTCCAGTCTGGGCGACAGAGTGTGTCTCCAACTCAAAAAAAAAGAAAATTGAGCAAAAAGTACAGCATTCTCATTTATTCCCCTTGCAGCATTCCTCTTCCCTGATTGTTGACATCTTACATTAGTTACACTTGTTACCGTTAATGAGTCCATATGAACACATTGTTATTCACTAAAATCCATGGTTTACTTAGGTGTCACTCTTAGTGTTGTATAGTGCCCTGGATTTTTTTGTTTGTTTGTTTTTTCTGAATCAGAGTCTTACTCTGTCATCCAGGCTGGAGCGCAGTGGCACGATCATGGCTCACCACAGCCTCGACCTCCTGGGCTCAGGTGATCCTTCCTCCTCAGACTCCCAAGTAGCTGGGACTACAGGCGCATGCCACCACCCCTGGCTAATTTTTAAAAATTTTTTTAATCTTTTGGCCCAGACTGGTCTTGAACTCCAGGGCCCAAGCAATCCTCCTGCCTCGGCCTCCCAAAGTGCTGGGATTACAGGTGTGAGCCACTGAACCCAGCTAAAGTTTGGATTTTATCCTACGTGGGATAAGAAACCATTGGAGGGTTTGGAGCAAGAGTTTAACAAAAACAGATTTTAAAATTTTAAACTCATGTGGGGAATAGCCAAGGGGCTGAGATAGGAAAAGGTAGAGACATCCAGGTGAGATGGGACCGTGGGAAGGGCATGACGAGGGAGATTTGGGCAATACAGCAAAGGTAACCACTGAGGGTGCTGCCTACTTTTGCTGACCTGGGCTTTGGGGCTGACAGTGATACTTTTAACCCAGGTGAAGGTTAGAGAAGGAGCTGGAAGACAAGAGGGCCAAGTTAGGAACTGATATACCCATTCACCAAGCACCTCCCTTGTGTGGGGCTCGGAACTCTGTCTCCCTTCAGTAAAGACCCAGGAAGCAGGTCTTGTTCCAGCCCTCGCGTTACAAATGAGGAACTGAGGCCTGGCATGCTGGCTCACGCCTGTAATCCCAGCACTTTGGAAGGCCAAGGCGGGAGGATCACTTGAGTCCAGGAGTTCAAGACCAGCCTGGGTAACACATTGAGACCCCGTCTCTACAAAACAAAAACAAAAAAACAAATGACGGCTGAGTCTCGGGTTAAACACGAGCTCACAGGCAGTCGCGTGGAGCGGGGTCGTGGGTGGCCAAGGCCATGCCGTGTGCGACTAGGACCCCTCCTGTCTCCCCCAGATCCAACAGGCCATCCATGGCAACCTGCAGAAGCACACGGTGCTCATCATTGCGCACCGGCTGAGCACTGTGGAGCGGGCGCACCTCATCGTGGTGCTGGACAAGGGCCGCGTCGTGCAGCAAGGCACCCACCAGCAGCTGCTGGCCCAGGGCGGCCTCTATGCCAAGCTGGTGCAGCGGCAGATGCTGGGGCTCGAGCCCGCCATGGACTACACAGCCGGCCACAAAGAGCCTCCGGGCAACGGCACTCACAAGGCCTGACCGGCAACCCCTGCCTCTCCCAGTGGGGCAGAGGCCCTGGTGCCCACACAGCAGGTGTGCCCGTGGCGGCCCCGGCAGCCCCCAGCTGCCCTCCAAGCCCAGGCCCACAGCACTGGAGGGCGATGCCACATCCCACGGATCACCGCTTCCTGCATCTTGCCCCTGGTTCCTCCCCATTCCCGGGGCACCACCTGCCCCCGCTGCCGTGAGCCACCCCCCGCCCCACGGGCCTCCCCAGGCTCCTGCACAAAGACGGAGCCACCTTTTTAAACCCAGATCCTACCAGGTTTTTTACTGCTTGATTTGATGCACCCCAGTCAAGTCCTAGATTTCCAAAACATTTTTCTAATTGGGAGTCATGGTGGGCAAGTTCACCAAGATGTTCTAGAAACTTCTGAGCCAGGAATGAATGGCCCTTTCTAATAGCCTTGGGGATGTCAGGAAAGAACTGGGCCTTTTCCCTTTTGCCCCTCCAGAGAAGGGGCTTTCCCGTCCCAGAGGGAGACACCGGGAATGAGACTTTCTGTCTCTTCCCCTTCCTAGCTCTGTGAGTCAGGTCAAGGGTAGGCAGGGAGCATGGGTGGTGTCTGCCTGCCATCGCCCCCGTGGCCCTGCCAATCTGAGCCAGTCTCACTGTGAACCACTACGAACCTCAACCGGGGGGGTGAGGGGCTGGCCAGGCCTGGCGGGGCCTCGGGGGTGCCCCCAGTCTGGCACCCAGTGCTTTGGCCCCTTGGCTCTGCCCTGCCCCCGGCTGGCAGCCTCCCTCCCCCACACCCACACCTGCCACCCTACAGTTTGGAGGCCCTTCGGATGTCTGTGAGATGCGTTCTCTGTCTGGGGGATGGGACGGTGGCAAAGCCCAGGGTCTGGCTTTGCCGGGGGTTGCAAAATGTTGGGAGAACCCAGTCAATAAAGTGTACTACCTCTGACCCATGACCTCTGACCTTGCTTGAGCAATCTATCCCATCGCCTGGTTAGGTTTTTCCACCAGACCCGGCCCTGCAGAGTGGAGTTGCAGAGAGACTTTGGGAGGTCCAGGACCTCTCCACAGCAGCTGGGCACCCTTGCCCAGACTCCTCCTAGCCCCACCATCCCTAGCACAGACATGTCTGCTTCTGTGTCTCTCCTAGGGCTCATGCAGGGTGATGGAAATCCATCCCCTCTAAATCCCTGGGACTTCTGTGCCTCTCAGGACAGCTGAGGCCCAGCAAATGCCACCTGTTCTTTTACATCAGGGCCTGGACCCCCACGCCCACCGGGAGAGCCCATGGCCCGAGCAGCATTACCCAGCGGGACAGCTGATCAAAGAGAGGCCTAGGCCTGGGCACAGGAAGACCTTGTGGCAGTCCCTCTTACTTGTTGAGCTTTGGAGAAGCCCGGAGTCCCAGAGGAAGACTTTTTACCAACCAGTGGATGAGTGTTTCGGTATTTTAACTATTGGAACAGTCACACCGCGTGTACCACGGCTCGGAGACAGCCATGCGCTCATTTTCCTGCTAAATAAACCGAGTCTAAGCCCCAGCCTGTGGCCTGCTCAGCCCCCTGCATGACCTCAGGGGCTTAGACCTGCCTTGACCATCTTCTCTGTTCAAGATTGTCTGGCTCTGTCCCCAAGAAGCCATTTTTGGCTTTTGTACTGGGTCCCACAGCAAGAACGTGCTTGGGCCTAGGCTGGGTTTCAGATAGAATCAGAGACACCAGTTACTTTGCGTCCAGTTCCATTTAGTTCTTTGGGTTTTGTTTTGTTTTGTTTTGTTTTTGAGTTGGAGTCTCACTCTGTCGCCCAGACTGGAGTGCAGTGGCCGCTCCCAGCCACCGCAGCCTCTACCTGCTGGGTTCCGGCGATCCTTCCTCCTCAGCCTTCCAAGTAGCTGGAATTACAGACATACGCTACCATGCCTGGCTGATTTTTTGATTTATTATAGAGATGAGGTCTTGCTGCCCAGGTGGGTCTTGAACCCGCAGGCTGAGGCAATCCACTCACCTCAGCCTCCCAAAGGCACGGGATTACAGGCTGAGCCACCAAGCCTGGCTAGTTCTTTGGGGTTTTTTGGTTTTTTTTTAGTTGGAGTCTCACTCTGTCACCCAGGCTGGAGGGCAGTAGCATGCTCCTGGCTACCACAGCCTCGACCTGCTGGGCTCCAGCAATCCCCCCCCCGCCTCAGCCTTCCAAGTAGCTGGAACTACAGGCATGCACTAACATGCCCGGCTAATTTTTTTTTATTTTATTGTAAAGATGAAGTCTTGCCAAGTTGCCCGGGCAGGTCTCGAACCCATGGGCTCAGGCAATCCACTCACCTCAGCCTCCCCAAAGCACTGGGATTACAGGCTGAGTCACTGAGCCCGGCTTCCATTTAGTTCTCACAGCAACCTCGGAGACCAGTTTTCACCCCATTTTAAAATTAATGACTCCATCTTAGATTGATTGATTTACCCTGCGCCACAAGCCCCTACAGGCTGAACCCACAAAAGGAGGAAACTAAAAAGTTGTGGGGCGCCGGGCATGGTAGCTCACACCTGTAATCCCAGCACTTTGGGAGGCTGAGGCAAGAAGATTGCCTGAGCCCAGGGGTTTCAGACCAGCCTGGGCAACTTGGCGAGACCTTGTCTGTACAAAAGATAAAAAAATTAGCTGAGCATGGTGGCGCGTGCCTGTAGTTCCAGCTACTTGGAAGGCTGAGGCAGAAGGATCACCTGAGCCCAGCAGGTTGAGGCTGTGGTGGCCATGAGCGTGCCACTGCACTCCAGTCTGGGCGACAGAGTGAGACTAAAAAAAATTAGCTGGGTGTAGTAGTGCACACCTGTAGTCCCAGCTACTTGAGAGGCTGAGGTGGAAGGATTGCCTGAGCCCAGGAGGTCAAGGCTTCAGTGAGAGGGAGCTGTGATTGCATTACTGCACTCCAGCCTGGACCAGTGAGACCCTGACTCAAAAAAAAGCAAAACAAAACAAAGCAAAAAACACTTGTCATTGGATTTAGCTCTCATCTGAATTATCTTGATGATTGCATCTTAAGATCCTTAACTTAATCACATCTGCAAAGACCCTTTTTCCAAATAAGGTCACCTGCCCAAGTACAGGGATTTGATATGGGTATCTTTTACGGGGGTGGGGCACCACTCAACCTACTACAAAGGGGAACTTATAGTCCTGGCTGATGTTGACCTCAGGACTTCCTGTTTACTTTTAGGAGGCGGGAGTTATGTTCTCAGAGTTATTGGATCTTCAGCTATCTCCAGAGAAGTTGGAAATTCCCATTTTAATATGAGGTTAGTTAGCTGCTTTTTTTTTGAGTCGGAGTCTCACTCTGTCACCCAGGCTGGAGTACAATGGCATGCTCATGGCCACCGCAGCCTCGACCTACTGGACTCAGGCAATTCTTGCCCCTCAGGCTTCCAAGTGCCTAGAACCACAAGCGCGTGTCACCACACCTGGCTAATTTTTTATGTATTGTGGAGATGAGATCTCACCAAATTGCCCAGGCTGGTCTCAAATCCCTGGACTCAGGCAGTTCTCTCACCTCGGCCTCCCAAAATACTGGGATTATAGGTGTGAGCCACCACGCCTGGCTGGTTGGTTGCCTTTTTTTTTTTTCCTGAGTTGGAGTCTCACTCAATCACCCAGGCTAAAGTGCAGTGGCATGCTCAGGGCCACTCCAGCGTCGACCTGCTGGGCTCAGGAGATCCTTCCATCTCAGCCTTCCAAGTAGCTGAAATCACAGACACGCACCACCACACCCGGCTAATTTTTTTATTTATTGTAGAGACGAGGTCTCACCAAGTTGCCCAGGCTGGTCTCCAACCTGTGGGCTCAGGCAATTCCCTCATCTCAGCCTACTAAAGTGCTGGAATTACAGGTGTGAGCCACCGCTCCTGGCGACATACGTTTTTAGTCTCTTGGGTAGATGCCTAGGAGTGGAACTGTGGGGTCCTATGGCCACTCTTTGTTCAGTCTTTTGAGGACTCGCCAAGCTGTTTTCCACAGTGGCTACACCATTTTACATTCCCAACAGCAATACACAGGACATTAGGGAGGTCATTTCTCTATGTCCTCACCAACACTTGTTGTTGTCTGTTTTTGTTTTCATTTTTAATTATCGCCATCCTAGGGAGTGTAAAGAGTCATGACTTTTTATTTTATTTTATTATTTAGTTTTGATTTTTTTGAGTCAGAGCTTTGCTCTGCACTCCAGCCTGGGCGACAGAGTAAGACTATGACTCAAAAAAAAAATTGTTTTAAAAGCAGAGAGCCGGGCTTGGTGGCTCAGCCTGTAATCCCGCACCTTTGGGAGGCTGAGGGGATTGGATTGCCTGAGCCCGCGGGTTCGAGACCCGCCTGGGCAGCGAGACCTCATCTCTACAATAAATCAAAATGAACCGGGCATGGTAGCGCGCGCCTGTAGTTCCAGCTACTTGAAAGGCTGAGGCAGAAGGATTGCCGGAGCCCAACAGGTTGAGGCTGCGGTGGCCGGGAGCGGCCACTGCACTCCAGCCTGGGTGACAAAGTGAGACTCCAACTCAAAAAAAAAAAAAAAACCAGAGAGGGTGGAGCACAGTGGCTCACACCTGTAATCCCAGGACTTTGGAAGGCAGAGGCCAGAGGACTGCCTGAATCCAGGGGTTTGAGACCAGCCTGGGCAACATGGCAAGACCTCATCCCTACAATAAGTTTAAAAATTAAGGGCTGGACTTGTTGGCTCAGCCTGTAATCCCAGCACTTTGGGAGGCCAAGGTAAGTGGATTGCCTGAGCCCACGGGTTGGAGACCCGCCTTGGCAACTTGGCGAGACCTTGTCTCTACAATAAATCAAAAATTAGCAGGGGCGTGGCAGTGCATGCCTGTAGTTCCAGCTACTTGGAAGGCTGCAGCAGAAGGATTGCCGGAGCCCAGCAGGTCGAGGCTGCGGTGGCCGGGAGCATGCCACTGCACTGGGTGACGGAGTAAGACACCAACTCAAAAAAAAAAAAGTGTGGTGTAGTGGTGCACACCTGTAGTCCCAGCTACTTGGGAAACTGAGGCAGAAGGATCACCTGATTCTTGGATATCGAGACTGCGGTAGCCGTGATCATGCCACTGCGCTCCAGCCTGGGCAACAGAGTGAGACTCAAAAAAAAAAAAGCACAGAGAAGTCTACCACCATCACCCCACTGCCTGCTCCCGTTGCTTCCGCCTGGCCATTCCCACTACTTGGAGCCCTTGCTACCGGCCGTCCTGCCCTCCCACGGCCCCTCCCTCTTCTGAGCTGGTCCCTGAAGCTGGATTTGTGCATCAGGCAGCAG